CCAGATGAAGATGAAACGGGAGTTTTAGATCTGGGTAATGCTTGGTTAACGTACGTAGCAGAGGCGGAAACAGAGGCCGAGTAGTCGCCATCTTGGGATTCGAGATCTCGAGATAGCGACTGGGAACTGGCCGAAGGAAGTCACCAAACAAATGCGAATCGCGCCATCGGATTCAAAAACAAGTGACACAGGTGCATTGTTGTGAGAGCGTCAGTAGTTGAAAGTTGCGGATTGAGAAGTTGCGGATTGTGAAGTTTAGTGGAAAAGTGAATTTAGTGATAAAAACGAGTGAAGTGAAAGAAGATGGATAGAGATCAAGCACCCGAAAGGAAAAGTACATTTTCTAATCTTAAGATGGTGCAGAGGAAAGCAGGAGAGGAAAGGAAAATTTTGCAAGCCAGAGTGGATACTAAAGTGACCCCAACCAAGCCAGTGGACCCCAAGGAACTGGAGGAAAAAGTAAGAAGGGTGCAGGAAAAGTTTCGGCAAGATAGCGAGCAGAGACAGACCATATTTGTCAAGAAAACCCCTGCGATCAACAAGTTAAGAAGAAAGCTAGCACCAGAGGCAGCAACAGCACCAGCCAAGGTGAGCAAGATGGAGGTAGTGCTGGAGAAAGCAGAACGAGAGAAGGAGGAGCGAGCAAGGAAAGCAACAGAGTTAGCAGGGTCAGGGAAGACCTGGATAGAAATGATAGAGGAAGAGGAAAAAGCAGTAGAGGAAGCAATGGAGGTAGCTGAGACAGCAAGTGAACATGTGTGCTTACCAGGGCAGTGCGAAGTTATAGCAAATAACCAGCCGTTTTTACCCTCAAGCCCATCAAGTTATTCAAGCTCCTCGAGTTCCTCAAGTTCCTCAAGCTCCTCAAGTTCCAGTGAAAGCTCGAGCGAAAGTGAGAGTGAGAATGAAGGTGAAAAGAAGGATGAAACAATGTGCAGCGAATTTGAGCAGGAGATAGAGAAACTGCAGAACGTAATGGAGGAGATGGAAGAAGAAAAACAGATAGATGAGAAAATAATGAAGGAGGAGGAAGAGATTGCTAAGCTTACGGAGAAGTTAGAGGAACTGAACAAAAGCAAGGTGACATGGAGACTGTACAAAATAGACGAAGGGTGTTTGTCAAAACCGACACCAAAAAAGGAGTGGATGGAGAAGCTGCAGAGGAAGAAAGAGGAGGAACAAGGAAAGAAGAAATTTCATCCGGAGGACCCTCGGTTCCAGCTGCGTTGCAGAAAATGCAACCAGAGGGGACACCAAACGTCAGCATGCACTGCAGAGAAGAGGAAGAGAAAACATTAATATAAGTCCCGTGATTTAATAAAGCATGTTCAGTTAAATTGGAAAGCTAGTTGTAATGTAATTTCTGTTTGTTTTAAAATTTGAATAAAGTTGTAACCACTGTTTGTGAACCATGTGCAATTATTTCACAAACATTCCCAGCAGCACTGGAAGCGGAAACAACAGTAAGGGCAAACACATTGAAAACAAACAGGGCAGGAAAAGTTTAATCAGTTTTAAAGCCCAGAGTACGTTACAGACAAACAAGGCGAAAAGAGTTTAGTAAAGCCCAGAGTACTTGAATGATTTTAAAAGAAAAACAACTGGGAATAAGAAGGACAAATGTCTGAGCAACATTCAAGCATCATGAAAGACAAGCACTGAAATAAAGGATGAAAATTAATCAGAGATCAAAGACAGTCTACTCAGAAAAAAACACAACAACAACTAACCTCACTCCTCTGGAGGGTTAATGGCAGGCACCGGTGGGGGTGGAACTAGAGGGAAGGGAATCACTTCCTAAAAAGGAAACAACAATCAACAATAAAAGAAAAGAGAAGAGATAAAAGGGAAGCCGGCGGATAACGTACATAAGCGGGCCCTTTGCACAGCACGCAATGATAGAATGGTTGGGAAAGTGTGGAGCCCACCACCCAGTCCAGGCCAAACCGACGGTGGCCGGAAAAAGTATACAATAAGGGGTCCGCGAGCAAGACGCAGGCACCACAAATAGTGACGTTTCCTCCCCAAAAATCCCAGGCATGGTGCAAGAATTGAAATATGCACACAAGATCCATGGTGATCAAGGGTGAAACTTACACGGACTAGAGGGTGGAGACTGAGGAGGTGTCGAAGGAGGCGAAGGCGGGAAGTCGAGTGGCTGAAGATGGAGAAGAAGCTACAAAGAGAAAGGAGATATAATGAAAAAAAAAAGAGGGAAAAGAGAGAGAGAGAGAGAAACGCAACGTACGTAACAACCAGAAAAGCAGAATCCGCAGAGCCATAATTCAGGCAATTCCCAGATAGGGACAATGGAGAGCCAAGTGAAATACCGCGGGGTTGGGAGCCAATCAGGGTGCCAGGCGACCCAGTTCGGGCAACGGTGACAGGTGTACCAGATTTCACTTGTAGGTACGTAGATGGACTCGTAAGCCAAGCCAGCAATAGCAACATGTCCCGGAGGAATATTGACAAAAGGAGCCAAAGCCATGTTAGCAGGATAGCACGAAGACACAAGCGCGGGAACAGAACGGCACAACAAGTAAACAACAACACCAGCAACTAGTAACTGACGCCGTCGAGAGACTTGGCGCGAGGCTAGGTTGCAGAAAGAAAAACAAAAGGGCGGTGCGGGGCCCCCGCTAGTGTGTTGCTGTGGAGTGCAAGTGTTGTTTGTGCAGTCTGAAGCTCTTCATTCTTCGAGTGTGAATGCAGTTTTGTGAGGATTTGTTACCTATTCAACGCTGCAGGAATGATGGACATCATGGCACTGGACTGAGGGCACACTTTATGCAAGGACAAACACAAGAAGAAGAAGCTCCGAGTCATGAACTACACGTTTAACTCCTTTCACAAACTCCATTTCTTATACCTCACCACTCCACAGATCTAAACATGGAGAACATTCAATGGCCAAGCCGAAGGCGGCTGCTAAGCCCAAGAACACCACTGCCAAGTCGAGAATCGAACCCGAGTCCCAGGGGTGAGAAGCTACATTGCTGCCTGCTTCACCACCGCACCACCACAAGGACCGGCGGAACGGAAGGACTAGACTAGCGTCCAGGACCGAGTAGCCGACAGGTTCAGCAAACGGTTGCCAAGGGCTACACCACAGCCAATCCAAGAACAGCAAGACTCAACCGTCCCAGCAGAAACATCCAGTGACAACAGTCAAGAATGCTCCACAAGAACTCAGGACAAGTTCAGGACAAGAACTAAAGCTAAGTATTCTTTAGGACTCAGAGGTTAAAAGTGATAAGATAGGTTGGTTAGACACTGGTGTCAGATAGGTGAATAGTTATGTTAGGAGACACCCAGACAGGTTGAATCCCAGCTGTGTACAACTTCAGTAGAAAATTCAGCTCAAATACTGTACAGGAAAACGCTTGTTTCAGTGAACCATCACCCTTTTGGACCACGGAATCATCACAATCATCCAGAGATGTCCAGGAATCTTCAAGAAAACAACGATCTCAACAAGATTTAATCAAAATATAATTAGATGGATCTCCCGAGTCTGGCTCTGTGAACAGGCACCACTATTACCGCCAATTCCAAGTGTAATGGTCTGAACATAAGTCAAGGCTACTCTGATAATATCAGAGAGGAGCTGAAGTCAAACTTTCTTTTTGTTTGCACACTGAGTATGGACTAGTAGGGTTGAATAACCCGTAGGTTCGGTACAAGGTGGAAGTTTCAGGTTGTCAACAGTTTTATTAGCTTTAGAAAAATTGTAAAGTGTCATGGCAAAGGGGTGCGCGTAAAAGGGAGGTTGTTTAAAGAGGGAGTAATGTAGTATTATGAGGTTTCATTAAACCTCTCATAGAAAACCATAACCTAAGCTGTCAAGCCAATCATAACATAGCAGACGACTGCAGTTGTTGGTCACGGCCTACTCGACTCTTACCCTTGGTGGCGCCACCTTCAAACCCAAACCTGACACTAACTCCTATTATTGTTTTACGGTCAACACGTTATTGTGCGCCGCAAGGCGCGGGATCTTGAATAAAAGCCGGCTGGAGCCCAGGGCTCTTCGCCACACTTCCACTTGACTTTGACTTGTAATCATTCAGACTTGGCTCGGCACAGCCAAAGCGCCCAATACTACAATATGATTATGCTTTGGAGGGCAAATATGGATATTGCTCCCGTTTTGTCAAAACGAGCTCTTGTAAATTATTTAGCCAAATATGTAGCCAAATGTGAGTCCAAATCATTGAATTTTCATAATATTGTTAGTGATTTATGTGACAAGGGCGATGTTTCCATTAAATCTATAATCCAGAAGCTGTATATTAAGGCATGTTCAGAAAGAGACTAGTCTGCACAGGAAGTGAATCATTTACTTATGAGTGAGAAGTTAATTAGCTGTTCAAGAAGTTTTGTTCACATATTTATTTCCAAACTGATGATTGGTTGGAGGTTGATACCTATGAACACAGAGGAAAGTCTATCCTTCAGAAGTATGCTGAAAGATTGCCAAACTATGACATGAAAAGTCTATGGTGGATGGCCAAAAATTTTAGTTTTTCTAACAAAAAACTTAGAATTAATAATCCAGCTATTGTGGTTGTATGCCCAAAATTTACCTTGAAGATGTTGTCTGACAGTAAGAGTCAGTCCAACAATGAATTGTACTATGGATTTAAAGTTATTTTGCATGTACCTTGGCGTGATCTTTCACAATTTAAAATCACAGATAATATTTCTTGGCATGATTTGTATCTTGAACACCAACAAGAAATAGATGCAGATGATTATGAAGCCATATCTATACCTGCTGAAGAAGAAATTACATCTGATGATGATAATGAGTTTCTTGATCCATCGTATGATGTTACAACTGAGTATTACATGGTGTCATCTGCAATGTTACCTGACCAAAATACCCAACGAACTTCACTTGGTTCACGTCATATTGATGTGTCCTATAATTGGGCTGCTGCATCAGACGAGTATTCTCAATATGGTAGTTGGCAGGAACTTGCATCTTTTATTTCTGAACAGAAGAAGCATTTTCAGTCTGAAGAAAATATTCCACCATACCCTAATGTGGAGTTTAATGAAGAACAAGCATCTGTGCTAGCCTTAGTTGATTCTCAAATTGATATGATTAAATCTACTTGTGGATCAGTTAGTAATATTGGAAAATCAGTAATTGTACAAGGATCTGCAGGTAGTGTGTGTTTTACATCTTATGTCTTGGTAATGTTATGTTGTATCGATTTCCATTATTGTAGTTTTTTGTCTTAATTTTAAGGTACTGGGAAGAGTCTATTAATTCGTGCCTTGACAAATAGAGTCATGACTGAATTTGGACAGAAATCTATTATGTTGTTAGCACCTACTGGCGTTGCTGCTGTTAATATATCAGGTTCTACAATACATTCCAAGCTACATATCTCATCCATTAATGATTTTAGTGATCTAGAAAAAGAAGAATTTTGTAATGACTTTAGAGACACTAAATTTATTGTCATTGATGAGTATAGCATGATTGGATGTGGTATGATGGGCATGATCGACAAAAGACTGAAACAAGCTACTGGCAATTATGGAGAACCTTTTGGTGGCCTATTCATCTATTTTTTTGGTAAGTTACAATGATTTTCAAATATAATTGTTTAATTTAAACCAATGTAGCTGGCACTAAATACTGTTTTTCAATGTAGGTGATATTCATTAACTTCCTCCTGTTAAAGATACTCCTTTGTACGCAACCAAAAAAATAACTGATGTGTTGAAGCAGCATGGCAAAATGGTTTGGGACAATATAGAGTTAAGTATTTTTCTGAAGCAAGTGCATAGGCAGTCTGATTTAGTCTTCACAGCTTTATTGAGTAGATTGAGTAAAGGTATGATTACTCATGAAGACTATGAAATTTTGAAAGAAAGATTTACTATCATTGAGCTGTGAAGAGAGAGAATCTTACAAAACCGCTTTGCGTTTGTATCCAACAAAAATTGAAGTGGAACAAGCAAATCTAAATTATCTGTCATGTTTAAGGCATCCTGAAAACAATGAGCCTGTGCCAGTTGCAGCAATTAATGCCGACCATAATTCTGATGTTGCCCGTAATGGAACTTCTGATCAGGCTGGTGGACTTGTGCCATCTCTTCTTCTTGCTCCATCTTGTCGAATAATGCTGAGGACTAATTTGTGGACAGAGCAGGGGCTGGTTAATGGTGCCATGGGTCATCTAGTTGATATTGTATATGATCAGTCCATTAATCCTGATGCAGCCTTGCCAAAAGTGTTGATGTGTGTATTTGATGACTACAATGGTCCTTTTCTTGGTAATGATAGTAGTCTTAAACTTGTTCCTATCCCTATAATTACACGGTCATGGAAGGTCAATGGAGCGTCATGCAGTCGCAGTCAATTTCCTGTGCAAGTTGCTTTTGCTGTGACTATACACAAGTGGCAAGGCCTCACATTGTCCAAGGTAACGTATTACACTGTTGCATTATATCAATGTTCAAGGTGTTTTTTTTTTATTTTTAGCATCATAAAATAGACTGGTCTTACTAAGAAGGCAAATTCTTTCTTCACCTTATTATTTACATACATTTCAATTGGACAGGTAAAAATTAACATAGGAGAAGGAAAGGAAATGTGTCCTGGGCTATCCTTTGTAGCCATTTCCAGAACTAAAGCTTTAACTTCATTATTGCTGGAACCTTTCTCTAGCAGAAGGCTTTTAAACATCAACAACTCAAAAGTTCTGAAGGCAAAACTCGATTTTGAGCAGGAGCTGAAAAATAAACAACTAAGTGAGTCACACAAGAGTCTAATTGCCACCCCTCTACCCTGTTTACCCTGCTTCCCTTACCCGAAATACCCTATTTGGGCATAGTAGTGCCGGTCTGCGTAGCTGAATAGTATAAGAAGGCAAGTCATTTAAGATTTGATTCTCCGTATTCGCATAATTGCTGTCACCGGTGATCAAAACTGCGCAAACGGACATGGATACTTCAGACTGTCGAATTGATTTAATTATTAATTTTTGTTCCATGCCTGAACCTACTAATGTGAAGTTTTCCGGTGCCGCACTTGTACATGAGCTGCATGCTTTAATTGCCCAACTTGGCTGTGCCTTTGTTAATGAAGTGGCCGCCAAGTATTTTTTAAATGATATAGATTTTAATGCAGAATTAGATTTTATAATTTCTATCTATGAGAAATTTCCTGCTTGCTGTCTTGTTGACAGGGAATTTTGTAGGAGTTCGAACTGTCGGTTGACTTTTACCAACTGTCACAGCGGCTGTTCTGAACTAAGTAAATTAATTTTAAGCGATCTTATTAATAAAGTCTCAAACGAAATCAGCCTTGCAGTTGTTGACTGATTAATTTTATATTGAGGTTACTTTTATATGATTTTTATTTGTGTTTTACATTGCTCGGTTTCTTGTGTTGTATTGTTGCATGTTGCATGAATGTTGGAACTATATATTTTTTTCTTTTCGTATCCCTGCGCATGCCCTATTTATACCGGACACATGGCCAGCCGCACTACAGTCTCATCGTGAATGTGAATCAGTATTGTGTTGTCCTGTGGTCGGTTGTTGTGCGTTTTCGTTGCCGAGTCCATTTAGTGTTCGTCTGATCTGTCAGTTTGTGTCATTGTCTTACTGTCTTTGTTAAATCAAGGTTAGTGGTTGTGCTTGTATTATTTGGTGGTTTATTACTATATCTGAGTTTGTAGTCATTTGGAAAGCATGTTAGATACGTCTCATCCCATGTTAGGTTCCGTTCTTTGCGTAAATAATTCTTCGTCTAAATTATTGTTCGGCATTTCTGTATTATATAAATTAGTTAATGTTTTACTTGGATGCAGTGCGCCTCTTTTTCAAAACTGCAAATACGAATAAATGATACAGCTGTTTGGTGCAAGCATGTTCGACCACGTGATTAGCTAGGTTAACTTCAATGAAGTGACGGCAACTGAATGGTTTAAACAGTGTTGTCCATTATGTTTCATATGTCCAGCCCAAGTAAGCCGGTTGGTGCCAAACTTCGTAATGCGAAGACTATGATTAGGGGACAAGACTACAAGATAGACATGATTTATCAGGAGATATCCAAGTTCCCTGATTCTGTAACTGGCGAATTTGCACTCAAAACCATAGCTGTCTTCAAAGATCTGGAGACGTTCCTATTCTATGTTTACTTGTGCAAAGACTATGACAATAAGGATCCGGAATCGGAATACATTGTCAGCATTAATAATGATATCCAAAATGGTAAAGATGTTAGAGTTGTTTATTATGGCTCTATTGGAAGCTACAACGTGACAAAGCTGCTCCTTGATGGCGAAGGTAAATGCCGTATTTGTTGTCTGTACCTTAACATTGTGTAAATTAATTGCCTTTTTTATTACCTTTACAGCTGTGAATCAGTCAACACTAGCTGGTGTGTCTGCCAAAGAAAGTAATCGACCTGCCCCCTCTGCACCTGCACCAGGTCCTTCTTCACCTTCTGTTTAAATTATTTATTAAATTATTTATGTATATGACTTATGTTGTTAAAGGTATATTGCTCTTTTGTACGTTGTGGTTGTTTTCACATTCATGCTTGTTAGTTGGTAGAATTTCTTTGTCATGGACTGACGTTAGGTTTATTGATTTTTTGTACATTGTGATTGTTTTCACATTCATGCTTCGACCTGTTCCCTCTGCACCTGCACAGGTCCTTCTTTACCTTCTGTTTAAATTATTTCTTAAACTATTTTTGTATTTCTTTGTCATGGACTGACGTTAGGTTTATTGATTTTTTGTACATTGTGATTGTTTTCACATTCATGCTTCGACCTGTTCCCTCTGCACCTGCAGCAGGTCCTTCTTTACCTTCTGTTTAAATTATTTCTTAAACTATTTTTGTATATTACTTGTGTTGTTAAAGGTATATATTGTTGTTTTGTACATGGTGATTGTTTTCACATTCATGCTCATCTGTTGGCAGAATTTCTTTGTCAAGAACTGACGTTCGGTATATTGGTCATTTGTACATTGTGATTGTTTTCACATTCATGCTTATTAGTTGGCAGAATTTCTTTGTCAAGAACTGACGTTAGTTGTTTGTGATTAAAATTAAATTGTTATAGTTATATTGTTTTCTCATTCAAAATGTTGTTTACAACTTGAACTGAACCCAATATTCTAGAAATTCATATTTCGTAAAGAATCAAATAGCAGAATTACTTTGCAGTGCGCTGACTCAGCTAATGTTGTCTAATATTCAACTTTGAAGGGAAAAAAAATAATCAAAATTAATCTCATTAGAAAGGTTTTGAAGTCTCTAAACACAGCTGGTCCATCCAAATTTAATAATCTGGATCGCAGCGATGGTCTTGGCGCAAGTTACATTATCCACGTTATTTGCTTTGTGCAGTTTTGAACTGAACTATACGAACATGAACTAAACTATACGTTTCTGATTTTGTGTACTGTGTTAGGTTTGTTAGTTTCAGTTCGTAGTTTTCTTTTAAAGTAGCTATAAGTACGCCAGACCACGTCTCGCGTAACAGGCTTCGCGACGTCTCACGAAACACTGTTACGCTGCGACGCGCCTGGCGCACATATAGCTAGGCCTGCGGCGCTGACACCCTGGACGAGCAAATGGGGTATAGGGGAACAGGGCCTTCCGGGCCCAAAATTTCACATACTAAAACCATTTGTGGGGGTCTTATTTCTTTAAAATTATGGATAAGAAACTTCTTCTGTTCGGTAACGGTTTTCATTAAAAGTTCGAATTTTGACAGATTGTTATGTAAAAATCAACGTTGTAGTGATACAAGATAATCTAGGGACGCTTAAGCCCAAAAGAGGGTGTGGTTCGACCCTCAATGTGTGCTTTAAGTATTGTTCCCTTTTTAGTTCTGTGCCATGAAGCCTTCTTTACGATTAATTAGACCATTTTGTCTTTTTCACCTTGTTTTCGCCAAGAAATGAGCCATAGCTACGAAACGGTACAAGATAGAGCAAAACGGACGAAATTGTCGTCCAAGGGTTTCTACTTGCACGAGTTACCTCTTAGGGGCCCATAAAAAAAAAATAAATATTTTGCAACCTTTTGTTTTTGATTTTTTTAAAGTCAATTTTTGAGCTATAATGCTCATCTTCGAACTCGATCTGTCTTTTTATGATACAAAACGACCCTGAAAACCCCAGATCGCTCTCTCAGTTCATTCTCGAGTTATCGTTCGGACAGACAGACAAACAAACAGACAGACAGACAGACAAACAGAATGAAACTTTTCCGGTCAGTGGAGTAATGGGCTTCGCTAATCGCTCAGCCAAAAACAAAACAATGTTTTTCAATTTTTATGAGACCATTTTGGCTTTGCCAAGAGCTAGTTTTGGCTGAGATAGACCTAAAATACAAAATTCCGTGAGGTTATGACAGCTTTGGGGTATTGTCCTTTTGTTGCTTTTTTTTGTTATTTTTCCTTTCGTTCTTCTTTTTTGACGGCGATGCCCCAGACTTTGCAAGTCTTGCCTAGTAAAATAACCACTAGCTTACGTTCAAGAAGTGTTCAACAATCTAACCAGTCCACCAGTCAACACCCAAAGACCCAACAGGTTTGAGCATGCCCCGGCTAACTGCCCGGCTAACTGCATGTCAAAGCTGCCAGACTCGCTGCATGAATACGCGCTCCCGACACTAACAAATTTGGCTTAAGTAGCATTGTAAGGCGGTTAAATTGCGCATTTGACCGTTTTCAGACCTCAAACCAAATTGTTTTCCCTTGAAACGTGCAAAACTACGCGAAAGAGAAGACCTTCCGTTTCCCAGGTCGTTGGCACGCCTGGAGACGCTGAAAGTAGGAATCCGCACGGTTTTTGAATTGTCCGCATGACGAAAAGTTGCCTCAACCATAGAGTTATTGTTGAAACCTCCCGTGCGTTACCGTGCGTGCAAGACCGTGTCTCTTTTCTTACTTTAGGCCAGAATGAGGATTAAAACATAATAACAAGAAGAAACAGAATAGATCAAATTAATTTGATACAATGGGGGAACTTCGTTCTTTACCTTAAAGTATGGTGTAATTTATGTTTTGTTAAATGCTTAACACTATCAGAAATGGTAAATTGCATATTCTTACATCTGAGATCATTTTCAATAGTTATTTTCGAAATAACGCTGATTGAAATTTTACTGAATTCGTATTGGGGTTCTCAACAGATGGCGTTGTCCGCGCATGCGCCTGTCTGCTTGAAAAAGAAAACAAACAGAGCATTCTCAAACGAGTCGAAAGTTGAAGGAAATGAGTTTACTCGCACAGATTAGCAACAAAATTAATTGGCTTTGTTGGGAAACTATTATTTTGTTTCCAACGTTTGTTGCACGTATCTGCACGATTCTGGTCTGAATAACAGAAGAATCCCAAAGAGGAATTTTGGTGGAAGGAACGTGGATTCCACGTAGATTTGTGACGTGGATTCAACGTCGAGTATCCACGTGATATCCACGTGGATTTCACTCCTTTATCCACGATATTTCGACGTGGAAATCACGTCGATAGAAAAACTTTTTTTCCAACCTTGAGTGGAGTTGAACCTGGAACCTTTGAGTTAGTAGTCTTGTACTCTATCCATTACCCTACGGCGACGCTGCTGGAAGAGGAACGCCAGCTACCGACCCCTTTCTAAAGCACACGCATAGCGCCCCAGCCAGCTCTCTGGTTTATAGGGCGTTGTGCGTTGTACGGTCAGAAGTGTAGCATTGAATTTAATTATTGTACTTCTTTGACAAAATTTAAAAATTTGTTCGATTATGTATACACAGCTTTGAACACTATTTTTAACGTTGAACAAAATAGACGGTAAAGTGGATATCACGTGGATTCCACGTTATTTCCACGTTATTTCATGAAACGTGAAAAACAAAACAAACTGCATCTCTCCGAGAAAACTGTTCAATTATATACCACATTTAGCAATAACGACTAGCTTATCATAAGTTTTTTTATGGTTTGTATCTGATGCATGGTGGCGGAAAAAACTGCAATCCACGTGATATCCACCAATTCGAGTTCAAATGAACGAATGTCACAAAAGGGGAAATTATCCATCTCTTTTCATTAATAAGTTATCGTTCTACATTTAAAAGTGATCAAGAGAACAAAGCCAATGTTAATTGAAATTCCGTGGATGTATCCACGTCCACGAGATTTCCACGAATCCACGTGGAATCAACGTTGAATCCACCTGCGGCGCTGACACCCGAGACGGGGTAAACGGAGTGTATATACAATTTTTCGAAATGAAGTCTTTTTAATGATTTAATCGACCATTTGATCATTTTCGGCTCATTTTTGTCAAGAAATACCCCCTAGCACCTAAACGGTACAACATAGAGCCAAACGGACGAAATTTTTTTCCAAAGGTTTCTACTTTGACAAGTTACCCCCTAGGGACCCATAAAAAAATATTTTGATAAAAATTCATTTTGCGACCTGTAGTTTTTGATTTTTTTTAAAAGCCAAATTTTGAGCTAGAATGCTCATCTTCGAACTCGATCTGTCTTTTTATGATACAAAATGGCCCTGAAATTCCCAGATCGCTATCTCAATCCATTCTCGAGTTATCGTGCGGACAGACAAACAAACACACAAACAATCAAACAAACAAACCCACAAACAGAATGAAACTTTTTCGGTCAGTGGAGTAATGGGCTTCGCTAATCGCTCAGCCAACTATACCCCAACCATTCTGCTCTGCTTAAGAATTTTAAAAAATTAGCCCGGGAAGTTTTGAGATTGTATATTGTTTGTCAAACAGTCTTAAAATCGACTTTTGCCATTGTTTTTAATATATCCACCTCTAGGGCCGAAACAGTGAAAGATACGACAGATCAAAAGGTTGTTCCTGATTGAGAATGTGTTGTTTTGGGGGGGTTCCTCCTGTGACATTTTACGATTGGACCAACCCCTATTTCTTTGTTACCCCCTTTCATCCCCTTACAAGGGAAGGTTTTTAGGTGTTACACACCAATTAATTTCGCTGGGCGCGATACATATTGCAGGGGACATATGTAGATTAAGATTGGCACCGGTTTTAGCTGCCCATACTATGTTTTTCGTTTGTTTTCTACAATTTTTAGTAGGTAAACATCATAAAAGCAGCTAAAATGTTACCTTCAAATGCCTATATCTCCGGAACCGTTTGAGCTACACCGTCCAGATTTTGCACAGAGGTAGTCCGCATAGATACCTTAATCTTCGCAAAATATGAGAAGAGTCGAAAAAAATTGTTGAAATGGTCCGAAATCCAAGTCGAAATTCAAGTACGGAAGGTGCACATAGTTTGTGACATTTTCTTCAATGTTTTTCGAAAACATTTATACTTCACGATACTTTAGTTACCAATTAGGCCTACCTCTGTGCAAAATCTAGGCGGTGTAGCTAAAACGGTTCCGGAGATACAGCCATTTGAAGATCACATTTTTGCTGCTTTTATGATGTTTTCTTACTAAAAATTGTCCA